ATGGCAAAATCCCATGATGTACAATACCAAAAACTCGCATAAGGAGAATAAAACTTTCTTTGTTTAATATAAAACGTTTTGTTTATTTTTCTTTTTAAAGATGTATTTTTAAATTTATCGTTACAATTATAAAAATTTTTTTTACTATACATTTCCTTGAATGATACTTTAATTAAACTACATCAAAAATTTTCTTTCAGAAAATAATTTTTGATGGAGTTCTGTGGCAGCCCGACGACGCTGTACGAGTGTCTCCCGTCCTGGTGGGCCCCATCAAGCCGCCCTGCGGGTCTCCAGAAGCTCATCTCAAAACAGTTAGTATGTTGTCTAATGTTTTTTAAAAACACATTCATTAGAAGAAAACGGGGTTATTACGGGGGAAAGGGGGAGTCACACAGGAGAAATCAGCGTGCTCCAAAAAAAGAAAAGAAGCCCTCTACACTACTATTCTTTTTCCCCACACACACTGTGGGAAACTACCTCAGCGCCTCTGGTAGTAGTAAATATGTTATTTAGGTACAGGTAACATATGTGTAAATTTTACTATCCAAAAAAGTCAGACGAAGTGATATTTCCATCGGTTTTTGTATGACCTTTAAAAAGAGCCTCGTACAGTCCCCACATCCCAGTAAAAGGTCAGTACAGACAGTTACTAAGTTTATTTGGCCAGTAAGATTTTAAATTGTTTTTTAATTGTGTAAATTCCCTGGAAAAACCCAAAAAGACTTTTGTGCAACCTTAGTTTAATTAGTTTAAAAATATCTTTTTTTGCAGCATAACCAGGTGTGGGGGTTCTAAATTCAGAGGTACATAATGGGTAGGGACGGGCCCCCAAAGTTTGATAGTGAACTGTTAAAAGGGTGGTTTCACATGTGAAAAATTTTTATTAATGACCAGCTTGTAGTCAAAAGGCTTTAAATCCAATTAACCAGTTAAGTAGTGGCCCCCGCGTTCCGGGCTCAAACCCCACAACTTTATAATTATTCCCTTTCTTTTCACAGTTTTATTTTTTAGAAAAATAAAGAATTTTCGTACAATAACGGGTAATGGGTGGGGGTTGGGGGGCCCCCCACAGGTAAAATCATTTGACCAAGCTGCGTATGTACAATGGGCTTCTTTTCAAAACCTTTTATCTTACCACTCCAGAGACTCTGCTTTCTCCAAAAAGGATCTCTTCCTTATTTGCATCAAAACTAACCCCTTTCAATCCCCCTTGGGCCCCTACGATTTCCCAAATTTCCAAAAAAATTTTTTTAATAATAATAATAAAAATAATAATTAGGAAAATTTTAGGGTGCTTACCTGTTTACCTAAAAATTTTTAAAATACGAATTTTGGGGAGAAAATATTTGTTTCCGTAGTCCCCCCGTGTGCAGGGGGAGAAAATTAACCCCCCCTGGTCGCGGCAAGTGGTCCCTCGACCTCACAATCTTATCCATATCACCCGAGACCGTAGGGGATTGGATAGCCCCACAAGAGGTGTATAATTAATTGGGATGATAGTTTTTAATAGTTTAGGGGGAATAAAGGGGGGGGGGGTAGGTAACCTGGATACTCCATCAAGGAAAAATTTGTAATAATCCCACCACTTCCCAAATGTTTCTGGTGGCATTTGATGTAGCTGGATCACTCAAAACCCTATCTAATTACAACAAAACCCACGGCCAGCATACGTTTGTTATAAAGAAGGGGTTTAAATTAACTGGGGTGTTGTACCCTTATTCCCCCCTTCACCTTTTCATTTTCGATGTCTCTACACCGACACGGTTTCTCATTCCGCGGAGAGGTATCCGTTGGTTTGTCTCGCTTTAAAAGTCGTGATCAAGGGCTTCATTTTCCTTGTTGGGGAAAAACGAGGTCAACGTTTTTCACTCGGAACAAACGCTTTTTCCTTCACGCTTCTTTAACTTGGTTATTTCTTTAAATTTACATTAAAATTCAAAAGACATTTAATGGTCATAATTTTATACACATTAGAGTCACCCCCATTAAAAACTGAGACCGATGATTATGTTTAAAAACCAAGGTAATTTTCCCCCGGGGACACAGTCCAGGAGGGGTCAGTCACCCACGGTCCTACCTTTTTTTCCCCTTTTTCCCTTTTTCCCGGGGGCCCCGAAAAATCACTTTCCCCTCACTCTCCCGGGAAAACGTTACGACACTTTTATTAGAAATAGGCCTAATTAATCTTTAGGCCCCCGGAATGCCTTTCGTGGTTCCGCTTTCCAGCCCCCTCCCCACATTAAAAACAAACCCCGCCGCCTCCCCGCACATCCCGCATGCGCAAAGGGAATCTGGGTTCTCTCTATTTTCAAATAATTTTTGACCCATATAGCACTTTAAACCCCATTGGGCACTATATTTTCGGAAAAAAAAAAATTTTTCCCACTGCGGCCGGGGGGAGGTCTGTAGAACTTACTTTAATGTGGAGCACAATTTTCCCACTTACGGGCCACGGGCTTGGGAACCCAACATTGATATTTACATAATTCCCCATTTAATTTTTTCACTTTTAACCCCTCAGGTAGGCTCATCCAAGCAAACTCAAGCCTCCGGCCACCTATTTATTAAACCCTCAAAATGGATATTAGTGTTCCTTTTCTCTCAGGGCATAAGCCTATGCCCCCTGGATTAATTTATTGGCATACTGGAATTAGGGAACTTTAACAATAAAAAGTTCTCTCAGATCCCAAGTCAGCCCCAGACATTACTGGTTATAGGCAAAACCCCGGCCCATCCATATTTTTGAACCCTAAAAATGGACTAATTAGTGTTCCCATTCTCCGGGGGCATAACCCTATGCCCCTGGTTTAAAATTTTTTTGGGAATAGGAATTAGAGACTTTAACAAAAAAAAGTTCTTCGTATCCAAGTCGCCAGCACTTTTACTGCTATGGGCCCCCAACCCCAGGCCACCCCCTATTTTTTAAACCCCTCAAAATGGATAATTAGCGCCCCTTTCCCCCGGGGGATAAGCCTTGCCCCCGGATTAATTTATTGGGCTTTGGGAAATTATGGTTTTTAAAATAACAAGTCTTTTCAGTACCCAAGTCGCCCCCAGCCATTACTGCATATAGACACCAACCCCATGGCCCCCCATATTTATTGAACCTAAAAAGGGAAAATTATTTTTCCATTCTTAGGGCAAAAAGCCTATGCCCCGGATTAATTTATTGGGCATAGGGGAATTATGAATTTTGACAATAAAAAGTCCTCTCAGATCCCAAGCCCCCCCGCACATTACTGCTAAGGCCCCAATCCAGGGCCCCATTTTTTTATTGATCCCTAAAAATGGACTAATTAGTTTTCCCATTCCTCGGGGGATAACCCTTCCCCCCCCCGGGATTAATTTTTAGGTACGGGAAAATTTATGGACTTTAACCATAAAAATCTTCTCATGTCCCAAGTCAGCCCGCCCTTCTGCATTTTTCTTTAACCCCTTCACATATCCTCATTATTTCTTTTAGTTGCGCCCCAAACGGAAATTGCCCACAAAGTTTTATTTACCCAATTACTTCGCCAGTGGACCACTGTGATTTAAATGTGCATTTATCGTCGCTGAAGTAAGAAAATTATTTTTTTAAAATTGTTTTTAATTTATCTTATAAGAGCAAAAATTTTTTTGGTGTCTTGCTCGTTCGCAGGCGGGCCCCTTTAACGTCCTAGCCCCCCTATAATTAGTAGGTAATTCGGACGGTCAAGCTTCCCGGAAGTGACCAGTAATGTCCTTTCCATTTAACACCCTTTCAGGTATTGTTCCTGAGAAAGGGAAATCTTTTGGGACTTTCCTTTTTATATAACCCCTTGCTGTCCAGCCCCCACAAATTAGATGGTTCAACATCATTCTCGATAGAAGAATATTGTACTGGGTTGCCTTTTTTGAGTAAGACCCCATGACTGTATTCCATTTCCCTCTAGTCATTTTACTGGCGGATTTGCCCCTAAAATTCGGCCCTTCCCGTGTTGAGGAGGTGACGCCGCACGGTTTTTGGGTTTATGCCCTTTATCCGAATTTTTTTCATCCCAAAGCCGGCAAGGCTACCTTAGTAGGGGATCATTTTGCCATTCTGCAACCTTTACATCATACTGTAGTGCAGGGTTTTTAACATTATCATTTAAAGTCACCCTTTTTTATAAGAATCACATACAACCCCGCACATAACGTTGGTGCTTTCCTTTTTGCATTTAAGCAATGTTTAATTTGGTATCAATCCTTTTCATTATGATTGTTAAACATTGATAAAAACTGTCAAATTCTTTTATTCTTCCACTTTAAAACCCATGAATTACGGGTTACAATTTTTTGTGAATGAGTACCCCGGGAGAAGAGCAGTCCTTTTTTTCCTTGCCGCCCCTTATTAACTGGGTTTCCTTTACTGAGGTATTTTTCTTCTTACCTTTATGTGAGGAAAACCACTTTTTAGACCTTCACTTTAATTTTGGGCCCTTTTAAATCTTTCTAGTTTACCCCTGGGATTTTTTTCCCTTTGAACTTGACAGAAATTCAAGTCATTAGTGTTATTCCTTAGAATGTTTTGGCTGAGGGTCTGCAATTTTAAAAATTAATTCCCGCGACCTGTCGATTTCCTCCCGACCCCTATAGGGGGTTTGGCAAACCCCCCTTTGCATTAATAGGGTTTACAACGCGGCTTCACCTTAATTTATTCAAGCCCCTTTCTTTTACAAAACGTTTTTTTCCCAATTTGTAAGTTGTAATTAAAACATTTATTTCCATTCCATCTGCACAATTCCTGCAATCTCTTTCACAGCTTTAAACCACAATTTGCCATCAAATCTACTCTCTAAAGCATCTAAATATAACTTTTAAATTATTAGGGTTCAGTTTTTTTGATTCAAAATCAATGCCCCCGTCACTGGCTTTTAATGCCGTAAAGATGTTTCATTCTCTAAAATTCACGGACTTTTCAGCCATTAACTCCATTAGATCGTTGGTTAGGGGAAATTTTAATCCCGATTATACAACTAAGTAGGGTATAAGATAATTCTTGCACTTACTCTTGTATAAATCCCAGCCCCAAAATGTGCTAGCAATTAATTGGGGTAATTGTCATCATCACACGTCGATTAAAATTTTTGCACCCCACACCCATTCCCTTTAAACATCCTTAATTATTAAGTAATTTAATTTAATTTTTTTTTTCACTTTGCATCCCGGGTTTTCGAAAGGGCCACGGGAGAATGGAAAAATTTTTAGGGGTTCCCGTATGTACCTAACATTATTACATCCAGTAACTCATGGAGACAATCATATTTTTTACCGTGTCACCCCCTGTAGACATGTGAGAAAACTTAAC